GATTTATGGTGGGATGAGAATGAATACATCTTAAATTTTGCAGATCCAATTTATGAGATGTTGAGAGTAGCTGATACAGATAAGTCTAGCCACAGTAAAAGAAATTATTTATAGACATGATAGGAATACACTTCATGAATACTCAAGCTTTTGAGATGTTATTTATGCTATTCTAGAAGTCAGGTGGAGCAAAAGTAATACACCTTTACATTGCTTGACTCTCTCACTAAATCCCTAGTAAATTTAAAAAAAATTTCATTATTAATTCATAATTTGTTGTTTAATAATTTCAACATTTTATCATTGCTTTTAATGTTATTTGAAGATATTCAACTAAAGAATCGCGTAAAGAGGATCCTCAAAGAGTTTCTCCACAGAAAGATTTAGAAATTTTAAATATGAGGAAAACATATTTGAAGCGTTATTTTTCAAATGAGGAGGAGAGAAGTGTCAATGTTGAGCTTACTAAATTTTTTGGTTATTTAGAGGACTTTGGTGACCAAGAGTCATTGTGTGATAGGTGAAGAATTGATTCGAAAATGTGGTGGATTATACATGAAGCTTCAACACCTCTACTTCAAACAATCACCATAAAATTGCTTGGCCAATTTTCATCCTGACATCTTGTTGTAAAAGAAATTTTGGGCACATACTCGTTCATCCAATCAGTGAAGATAAATAAAATTATTTCACAACGGGCAAAAGATTTAGTTTATGCGTATACAAACCTTTGACTTCTCTCAAGGAAAACTCCAACTTATATAGAAGGAGACAATAAGATGTGGGATGTTGTTGGAGATGGATTTGAATCTCTTGAGGATATTGGAATATTAGAAATTGCTAATCTTTCTATATAGAAGTTCAAAGACAAACCATTAAAGAAGTTAACCCTATCATTCCTTCTATTGAATAGTTGAAACTTCATGTGCTAAGACAATTTATGTTTTTATTTTTATTGTTGTACTAGACATTTAAATATTTAATGCTTACTTTTATTGTGATATTATAAGATACAATGCTACAAATGATGTTGCTTTCAATTTTTTTTGTCATTTCAAATATTGTGCTTTGATTACTTTCTTAATTTTTATGTATGATTTATATATTATAATGCTGTATCCGCGTCGTACCGTATTCTATATTTTTAAGAATTGACATATCCCGTATATGTATCGTGTCGTATCCGTATCGCCGTATCCATATCGGTGCAACATAGATTTTATATGACACATGAATAATAGCTGCTCATGTTTTGTAACGTTGTTAGCCTTCCAAAATTTCGAAAGTCTTGTTCAAATTTCTTTTAAAATGCACCTTTTTTATGCCATGACTGACTCATTGAAGCGAACAATTACTTGCCTTCAATCATTTTCCTTTTGCGCATTATGATTTTTTTTTTTCTTATTTTATAAATAAGTAGAAAACTACAATTTAGGTTTAGATGGAATCAATTATTTGGTGTGATTGTTTACTTCAATTTTACACATCTAGAAAGTGCTATTGATTTGCAGTATGCAACCAAGAGAACCTGTTAGGCTTCAGCATGCACAGTTAGTGCTATTCATTGGAATTTTCTTCTCATTTCATGTTAGAAATCTACAGTTCAGTTAACAGTTTAAATAATGGGATGGCTACAGTGTCTTCATAATCATTTATGTGGTCATCCTACTTATTTCATTATAAGTAGAGCTTTATGAAATTTCTGCTAAGTTTTATTATTATTATTATTATTTTTTAAAGTTTATCAGTGCATAATTGAACTATAAGAATACAATACCTTTAAGTTTGACTTTAGGTAGCTTAACGCACGTGACAGTTTGTTCTTTTGGTCAAGTCTGTTATATTAACGCTAGTAGCATGTAATCAAGTTGAGGAGTAATTATTACGTCCGGTCAAATCCGAACATATCTGAATGTATACCGAGCAATACTGAGTGCTCAATATTGAGTTTCAGGTGACGTTGCGCGTGGTTATTGGTCTAT